AATGGTGGATACAGAACTCAGATTAACTTCCCAACAAATCCAAGTTGATCTACAGACACAGGGTACAACAGTGTCAACTCGCACTATCTGTTGCCATCTGAATGAAAAGGGACACTATGGTAGGAGACCCAGGAGGACGCCACTGCTGACACAAAGGCATAAAAAAGCAAGAATGAAATATGCCAAAACTTTTGAGAAGTCCTTGTTAACCCTTATATAAGGGCATTTACTGGATGATTAGAGGCACATTACCCACTACTTTTGCTGACAAGGCGATGCGCTGGCAGATTTATTGGGCTAAACCAAAATTCAGATATGCTGACAAAAGTAGCTAAATTCTGTGCTGCTGCAATCAAAATCCATGAAGGAAAGGTTCCACCCAAAGCGCAGCTATAGTATCTGTAAATTGGTTATACATGTAGAGGCCTTAATGATCACATGGGCTTTATGAGCTTCAAAGTAACAATTCTGTCATTCTATGAAAGCTACAATAGCCCATAGGTAAGGCCTATGATAGGGAGGCAGGATATATCTAATAAGATGTATTAAATAATGTTCCTTACTTTTGCTGGTCAATGACCATAATAAAACATTGATTATTATTATGGGACAAAACCACAATCCTTCTGGGTGAACGCACTGTGGACAGATGAGACAAAAGTAGAGCTATTTACTGTTTACAGAAAAAAAATGAGGCATTCAAAGAACACAGTACCTACATCAAACATGGTGGAGGTTCAAAGATGTCTTGGGGTTGCTTTGCTGCTTCTGGCACTGGATGCCTTGACTGTGTGAACGGTATCATGAAATCTGATGATTACCAAATAATTTGGAGGTGCAAGGTAGTGGCCAGTGTCAGAAAGCTGCGTCTCCACCAGAGGTCATGGGTGGATGACCCGAAACACACTTCAAAAACTACGGGATGAGCACCACGCCCTACAGTTGGACACGACTGGACCAAATGTCAAGGGGAACCTTTACCTTTAAACCAGCCTAAGTCTTTACATTCAACTGGAAAGTCCTGAGTACACTTAAGTAGGGATGGGACTTTGGGGTAAACATAAATGGTGGGGACACACCATCTTACTTTCATTTTCACTTTCTTTTATTGATTCCTGATAGACTCTTAAACACAAGTGACAAGATTTCACTTTTTCTGATTTTTTGTGTGTGTTGTTCCAACACAAATCAAAGAAATGAACATGTGAGTACCAAAACATTCTTCAACGTGGTCTCTATGAATCCACACTAGTGGGTTAAACCGCGCCTGTGCTGGACCTCTTGGAATCTTCAAAACATTTGCAACTGCAACAATTTTCTGAGAGAAAGGTTACATTTTCTGGCAGAATTGCAAGGGCACCAATGTTTTCGGCCAGGACTGTATAAAATGGAATTAACTGGAATAAGTAAATTTAATTTGCAAAAGGTTCGGCCAGGACTGTATAAAATGGAATTTTATACGGAATTTTATCCAAAACTTTGGATTCTTCCATGTTTCCCTCTTTTGTTTGCCCTTTCCATCACCCGTTGTCTTTCAAATAAACCAGGAAATTTGGCCAAATAGCATGAGGATGGCTTCTGTCAAAGGAGGAGGGTGAGACTTAGATGGAAGTGGTGACGAAAAACAGAAAGAATGGCTGGTGATAATTTGCTCCCAAAGCCAGGAGATGCACACAGCTTGCAGAAATAGTAAGAACATTTCCAGCATCCTTTCTTTATTTCTCTCCCCACCCCCCACAACATTTATTATTTTTTAAGAAGTGTACCATAAACAGCCCTGCCTAAGCAACAGTCAAGGAAAAATTCCTAGGCTGCAGGGTCAGGAGTGGGGCGAGGAAGGTATCTTTGTGCAGTTTTTCTGCCTTGGGCCAATGATGGTGCCATAAGAATTTCCTCTTGCACAGAAGCAGATCCACTTATTTCCTCAGTGACTTGTGAGAAGAACATAAATTGAAGGCAATCAGTGCAATCCTCTATTTTCTCAAAGCTGCCTTTGCCCTATTCTCCAAACATAAGCTGCCACCCCAAATTATAGGCCTTTCCCCAAATGTCAGATTTCAAGAGATCCTTTTCAGGGCACAGACGGCTTCAACAAGGGAGAATTCCCTTTCTGTGAGGGTCCTTATACGAGTGCTGAACTAAACACAATCCATTATAACAAGAGGTTTACCAATAGAAATGTGAAATTAAAAAATATACAAACAAAAATTTATATTACAAGAGTTTTCAATATAACTTAAAATACAGTAAGTTGGGAATACTTACATAACTATGGATCTTAAGAAAATCTGAAGGACTGCTTGTACAGACTTTATCACCTTCCAAGCCCATTACTCTTTTACAGATATTTGATTTGGGATCATTTGGGTTCTTTGCAATAACAATATCACCTCTGAGGAAAACAGTAAAGAAATGTCAGCATCTAGCAGTATGTTAGTGAAACACATTATAAAGCAGATATGGTGAATTTTAGTGGTGAAATGCTACCGAAGTGAATTCTGAATTACGGGAGAATAGAACTCTAGAACTCTGAAGCTACCAACAGAACTCTGAAGCTACCAACATGAATTTGACCCAACTCCAGGAGGCAGTGAAAGACAGTTGGACCTGGCAATGCTCTGGTCCATGGCGTAACGAAGAGTCGGACACGACTTAAAGACTAAACAACAAGAACTCTAGTACAGTCCTTGTGTTGCAGCAACCTCATGGTAGTTTCCCCCCAGTTTAACTACACCAAGGAACAGAGCAGTGTTGGAGAAAACTGGCTCAGATAGAGACCTCCTTCTATGCTATATCCAGCCCCAGACTCTCATGTTTGTGTGTAAATGTTATAAACCCCTTCTGCTTGCACCTTAATGTAGGCTGGCTCCTCATTTGCTAAATAATTCAGCAAGTAGACTAAGAAGCACATTTCCCTCTACCTCTCTCTCAGTACTGTAAAACTACTGTCTCCCACTCCACCACCTGCCCCACAAAAAACTGGAAAAGACCATTTCTGTTTCTAGAAGGTAATGCCTATGCCTGATGTACACAGAATTTTTCATAATAGCTTGCTTTTTAAACTACAGATCCGAAAAGCCTTGTAGGCCTTTGCACATGGAAAGTAACCTACTGTTTTTTTTGCACCATAAGACTCACTTTTTTCCCACAAAACAGGGGTGTGGAAAGTCTGTGCGTTCTCAGTCAATTTTTAAGTTAGGTTTTTAACACAGAAAAAGGTGGCTATCTATACTTATGTATTTTTAAATATATATATATATACTGAAAAACCTATGAATGATAACCATATATTCAGGAATTTAAAAAAAAACAGAATTACACATAAAAATAGTGTTAAAACAGCAGTCCCATCACCTTCCTAAATCAAATATAAAACAGTTACACATTAAGTTCCAGTTCAGATATATTAAAAAACAGTCTGTGTGCCTCCCTCTTTTTTTAATTCATTAAAACAGCTTTTTTTCTGATTGTAAACAAACAGAAAACTGAGGTTTGATTCATCTGACATTAAATTTATCAAGTCAGGAATAAACTGGTGACAGATTCTGCCTCATTTTGAGACCATAATTGAAATAAACTAGTTTCCAAGTCTGAGTATTATAGGGAAACTGGTTACTTTAAAATGGGAAACAATGCACGAATGAGAAGAGTACACAAGACTGATCACTTAAACTTGTATAATGAAACCACAGATTTTTCTTACACCTAAACCAGCCAAAGGGACGTGGTAGCACTGCAGATTAAATGCAGAAGCCTCTGTGCTGCAAAGTCAGAAGACCAGCAGTCGTAAGATCGAATCCACACCATGAAGTGAGCTCCCGTCAATTGTCCCAGCTCCTACCAACCTAGCAGTTCGAAAGCAAGTAAATCTGAGTAGATAAATAGATACCACCACGGTGGGAAGGTGTTCTGTGTATAGTTGCGCTGGCCACATGACCACGGAAACTGTCTATGGACAAACACTGGCTCTATGGTTTGGAAACGGGGATGAGCACCACGCCCTACAGTTGGACACGACTGGACCAAATGTCAAGGGGAACCTTTACCTTTAAACCAGCCTAAGTCTTTACATTCAACTGGAAAGTCCTGAGTACACTTAAGTAGGGATGGGACTTTGGGGTAAACATAAATGGTGGGGACACACCATCTTACTTTCATTTTCACTTTCTTTTATTGATTCCTGATAGACTCTTAAACACAAGTGACACCAAAACTTTGGATTCTTCCATGTTTCCCTCTTTTGTTTGCCCTTTCCATCACCCGTTGTCTTTCAAATAAACCAGGAAATTTGGCCAAATAGCATGAGGATGGCTTCTGTCAAAGGAGGAGGGTGAGACTTAGATGGAAGTGGTGACGAAAAACAGAAAGAATGGCTGGTGATAATTTGCTCCCAAAGCCAGGAGATGCACACAGCTTGCAGAAATAGTAAGAACATTTCCAGCATCCTTTCTTTATTTCTCTCCCCACCCCCCACAACATTTATTATTTTTTAAGAAGTGTACCATAAACAGCCCTGCCTAAGCAACAGTCAAGGAAAAATTCCTAGGCTGCAGGGTCAGGAGTGGGGCGAGGAAGGTATCTTTGTGCAGTTTTTCTGCCTTGGGCCAATGATGGTGCCATAAGAATTTCCTCTTGCACAGAAGCAGATCCACTTATTTCCTCAGTGACTTGTGAGAAGAACATAAATTGAAGGCAATCAGTGCAATCCTCTATTTTCTCAAAGCTGCCTTTGCCCTATTCTCCAAACATAAGCTGCCACCCCAAATTATAGGCCTTTCCCCAAATGTCAGATTTCAAGAGATCCTTTTCAGGGCACAGACGGCTTCAACAAGGGAGAATTCCCTTTCTGTGAGGGTCCTTATACGAGTGCTGAACTAAACACAATCCATTATAACAAGAGGTTTACCAATAGAAATGTGAAATTAAAAATATACAAACAAAAATTTATATTACAAGAGTTTTCAATATAACTTAAAATACAGTAAGTTGGGAATACTTACATAACTATGGATCTTAAGAAAATCTGAAGGACTGCTTGTACAGACTTTATCACCTTCCAAGCCCATTACTCTTTTACAGATATTTGATTTGGGATCATTTGGGTTCTTTGCAATAACAATATCACCTCTGAGGAAAACAGTAAAGAAATGTCAGCATCTAGCAGTATGTTAGTGAAACACATTATAAAGCAGATATGGTGAATTTTAGTGGTGAAATGCTACCGAAGTGAATTCTGAATTACGGGAGAATAGAACTCTAGAACTCTGAAGCTACCAACAGAACTCTGAAGCTACCAACATGAATTTGACCCAACTCCAGGAGGCAGTGAAAGACAGTTGGACCTGGCAATGCTCTGGTCCATGGCGTAACGAAGAGTCGGACACGACTTAAAGACTAAACAACAAGAACTCTAGTACAGTCCTTGTGTTGCAGCAACCTCATGGTAGTTTCCCCCCAGTTTAACTACACCAAGGAACAGAGCAGTGTTGGAGAAAACTGGCTCAGATAGAGACCTCCTTCTATGCTATATCCAGCCCCAGACTCTCATGTTTGTGTGTAAATGTTATAAACCCCTTCTGCTTGCACCTTAATGTAGGCTGGCTCCTCATTTGCTAAATAATTCAGCAAGTAGACTAAGAAGCACATTTCCCTCTACCTCTCTCTCAGTACTGTAAAACTACTGTCTCCCACTCCACCACCTGCCCCACAAAAAACTGGAAAAGACCATTTCTGTTTCTAGAAGGTAATGCCTATGCCTGATGTACACAGAATTTTTCATAATAGCTTGCTTTTTAAACTACAGATCCGAAAAGCCTTGTAGGCCTTTGCACATGGAAAGTAACCTATATTTTTCTCGCAACTTCAAGACTTATTACCCACATCAGCCTATGTTTGAACTGTTAACTACCATCAGTAAGTGTTTGATTGTAAATACATGGATTAATGCATTAAGCCTAGTGTTTTCTATGTGCGCTAAGCACTGTGCACATATTCAGTGTTCCATGAACTACTAATAAAATAGCATTTAGATAACAATAAATGGCATTTCTGGAAAGAACTGCTTTTTGAATTTGCTTCCTGGAGATAAACTAACGTCTGTTAAAATATACACCAAGATAACTTTAAAATGAGCACACATGCCACACACAGCTTTTGTCTTAATTTCCCAAACATGCCAAATCTAGAAAGCTTCCAGAAAGCACAAAATGCTACTGGTTTGTCTCTGATCTAAATGAAAGAACTAGGAGCTTATGAATAATTTTAACCCAGTAAAACAATGAAAGCAGGAATATGATTATAAGAAAAACCAATACATTCTGTAATCAAGTATTTTACAAAACTATAGAAAATTAGAGTAACATACTTCTGAATGTTATAAAAATGGCAGCTAAGATTCTCAGAAAACACAATGTCAGAATTTTGAATTGTAGGCTCCATGGAAGGTCCTGAACACTGGGAAAAAAAGATCAATATTTGCAAATTATTTGTTATATATAAAAAAGATTAACATTCATAAAATATTTGTCATATATAATATTTGTATATCTAAAAGGAAAAGCAATTAATAGCAAGATTCCTAAGACTTTACATAAAGGGTGGGGAAAAAATCTTGGAACAGTTTTTTCTCTCTCCACCTATCACTATCTATTATATTTGAGTACCACTGAGCTCTAAAATAGTACTAAAAGTGTCCGAAAAGCTCCCAAGCCTAGTATGAGCTTTAGAGGTTTCAAAGAAAAGATGAGCATTGCAGGCCCATGAATTCTTGTATATTTCTAATTAAAATTCATGCCAGATATTAACATCAATTTTACCTCTTCAGCCTAATCAACCCAGTACAGCCAGGAGAATGATTTCCCGTCCTGAACCGTGCATGGCCAGGCAAAAATGTCAGAGGAAGTCAGACATTTTGAGAGGGTTGCCAAGTCCTGCTTGGAGCAAAACAATTTTTGGGAGTAGGAAGGCTTACAATGCCACAGTTGTTGCTTGAGGGGTTTTTTTTATTATTTTTTTTACTCTGAAGGCTCCTTCAATCTTGTAAAAGTCCACTAGAGATATATTGTACCATTACTTTGGAAATATGACTTAAAGAAGCTTCATGGACAAAAAACATGGATGACGGTGAAGGCCAGAGACTACCTACCATAGTGAACCCTCCTGTCTCACAGGTTCTATATGAGAGCAGATCAAATGAGCATGCCCCAAATGGCCTTTTATCAAAACAAGTTCTATGTTAATAATCTGGATGATGAGGATGACAATACTATAACAACTACAATAATAATAATAATAATACATCTGAAAGTTCAGGCACTACGTTTATAGCTCTTTCCACTGTTAACAAATATACATTTTTAAATCTTTTTGTTAACTCACCACAACAATTCCTCCAAGATATTCAAAAGCACAATGAGCTATGCATCCGTACTGAATGGTATAACCAAGAAGCCGAAAAGTCTTTCCAGAAATATCTTTGAGCATTGCACTGTTGTGAGCTGGTCCTGGTTTAAGGGAAAAGAAATATTCCCGATATTTAATGCACATCCTTCCCTTCTAGTGCCTGTGTATAACTCTGAGCAGTTCACAACAATAAAGTGTTAAAATGTTTTTTCAGTAAAAACATTAGCATTCTCTTCACCCTGATTATAGAATGGATTTTCCCTTTTCTAATTAAGGGGATGGGGATGTATTATCTTCAATTGGCTTTCAGAAAGCAATTCTCCTTGCCTTTCCATACTGCAGTTAGCCTTTACAAAATGTCAGCAGTGGTTTCAAATGAGGCATTTAAAAGCCTCATTGAAACATAGAAGAAAGAGCTAACCCTTCCCAATGTTGTAACCCCACTGGAAAAATACACCTAGTGCTGCAGTCAGACTTTTATCAAGTCTCTACTAGTATCAACTGTTTCTGAAAGCCTCACTGTGGTGAGGGGCAAATTTTTGATCCATGTGAATGGGACCTTGGCATATATTTTGGAAGGAATACATGTTAGCACCCATTTGGAGTATGGCCTATTCACTGCTGACAATGTATTTTGGGACCATGGGTTTGGATCATGACATTGCAATTTGGGAGATGCCACAGTTGAAAATAAAGAATCGGAAAAATTAACAAAATACAGGAAACTGGCAATCGAACTATCTCGCTTGTGGATGAAACACACTCAGTGATCCCCGAAGTCATTTGGGAACAATATGAAGAAATTTCATACAGTACTATAAGCCGTTGCAGATCTCGGAAATGACACCATCAGAGTTACTAAAAACAGCAATATTAGGAATAGCATACATACTGTGTCAATATTTAACAGATACAGTGGTGCCCCACATAGCGACGTTAATCCGTTCCAGGATTAACGTCGCTATATGGAAACATCGTAAAGCGAAATAAAAAAGCCCACTGAAACGCATTAAAACCCGGTTAATGCGTTCCAAAGGACTGAAAACTCACCATTCAGCGAAGATCCTCCATAGGGGCGGCCATTTTCTGTGCCTCTTAAGTGAGGCAAAACAGCGGGTGACCATTTTGAAACCGCCCACTAGCTGTTAACCATTGCTTTGCCATGATCCGTTCCCCAAGCAGGGAACGGATCATGGCAAAGCACTGCCAGCTAGCCAGCCCGGCTTCCCCCCTTTCACCCAGCTCGGGTGGATGGGAGGGGGGGAATCCCGCCTCCCCCCCTATCCACCCGAAGCCGGCATTTTAGCCCGGCT